TTGATGGTAAGACCAAACTTTACTAGAGCAGTTTGCTACCTAAAAACTTTTTTTTTTTTTTCCCTCCTTCCCTCTTAATTGCTCAGAAGTAGAGGTCGTGATGATAACGTATTATAAAACTAATACCAATCTACAATTGGTTGGTAATACTTTATGTACTAATTGAATATTGAACTATAAACTAGTAGAACAATATAAAGAAATTGTAAACTAATAGAACAATATAGAGAAATTGTAAAAGTAAACAAGAAATAAGAACTATTCTTCCATTTACTCAAATAAACTTGAATTCTCTGTCACTTTGATTGATATATATGTATGAAACGGAGAAGGGGCACTTTGCTTGGCAAAGAGAATAGGACCTCAGGTCTCAAATAAGCCAAAATCAATTTATTGAATATCTCTTTCAGAACTAGGCCTTATTACCAGAGTTACATGCTGTGACATAAAATACAGGAAAATATGTAGCAAATCAAATTCAAGAAAATAAATTGATCTGCCAACCTGGATGTGGCCTTTCACTAACCATATCAAAGTACCAAACTTGATTTTTTTTTTTCGTATTTTCCTCCTTAAGGGAGTCTAGTCTAGACTTTTGATTATTTCTTTTAAGCAGTCCAACATAGATTTACAATTGAAGACTTTAACCCCAAAAAAAGAAAAAGAAAACAAAAGGAAAATCAGTCAGGTAATGAGTCTATTAATACATACCTTATATTGTAAATTTAGAGCCACATCATTATGGTGATGTATGATGAACAAAAAATAGTTATAAGAAATGATCTTTATTTTAATGAAAAACACAAACAATATTATGATAACTAGTGTATTCGATAAAAGAATAAAAAGATATCTGATGAGAAGCTAATTAGTTCACTTGAAAATATCAAGATCAGGTTTAGAAAAGTGGTTCACTCTTTCTTTTCCCCTTCATAATTTTTGAGGCCCAATTACAAACTTATGACCTTTGAATCAAACCGGTTCTTATTGTAATTAAGACGTCAGCTATTGAATGCCTAGGAACCTTTTGCTTTTGCAGGTGGATGGATGCCAGTTTAACGTACGTCGTCGGACAAATTTTCTGGACATAACGGAAACGGTCGTCCTGTTATTGGATGAATTTATGATTTTTATTGCACACAGGGAAAAAATGTAGGAGTACCTGTTATTTTCTTAAGGAGTAGTTAACTTTAATTAAAAATCACAGATAAAATAAGAATCGTCTCGTAATCGTCCGGAAGTGTTTAATTTTTGTGTTGTTATCAGTGACACAAGTGAGAGTAGGGTCCTTAATACGCGGGCCACTTTTGGGGTGCTGCTCCCACCAATTTTGACTATGAAGCATTCAGCATAATTACTAATTTACTAAATCAATAAAATGCGAGAATGACATGAGCAGAGATCCACCTCGCTGATGGAAATACTGTTTTTTCATTCGTGATTTTTTTATTGCAAATATTCAAAATTGTTCACACCATTCTAGATTCGCGATTATTTACAGATATTCAAAATTACTGTTACTTGCAAATACTTAGTTTATTTATCATTGCGTGGCTTTCAAACATTAATGTCCCATGAAAATTAGACCTATTGCCCGCAAGAGTTGTATTGTTGACAATATACACGAATTAGTCACAAGCAATGGACTGCACATCCAATTTTTTTTTGTTTGGTCAAAGTCTCTTGCTGAAAATAAAATTAAAAAAAGAATTGTAGAAATATACTTACCTCATGGAAATATCAAAGGTCCCTCGCACATAAAAAAGTCCAATTAAATGCCAAATCGGGTCACTTGGGAATTGGGGCCACTTATTGGAGAAACGTTTTTGGCCGTTGTTGACTATTTCTTCCTTTGCTTCTTCCTGAACCCTTCCTCGTCGACAGGGGACACGACAGTGGTGATTGTCCCCCCTAACTTTTAAGAAATCATATTTGTTACCTACAACATTTTATAGAATTTTGCTTTAATTTCTAATTTTTTTCCCCGTCAATTTTTTTTTTTTAAAACTCTAGAGTCCCGCCTCCACCTGTAGAAATTTTTTTTAATTTCTAATTTGTAGTATTAAAAATTAAAACTTTTACTTCTTAATTAACATTTTAAGTATAAAAAGCTACACATTTTATACCCTAAAACTACTTAAACTTGACGTATTTATAACTAAATATGCCCCCCCCCCCGGCTTTCTCCCGCGAAATCCTGACTCTGGCACTACTTATCATCAACATTTTCTTTGGAAAGAGGATCAGCCATTGATTAGTTTAACTTTCATCCGTTTTTGCGCTTGCTTCCCAGAATCGTAGTTTAGCCATTGCAGTTTTAGCCATTACACATGAGTCCCTTGTTTGTTTGTAGAAACTCTTCTACTGCATCTACAAATGCCTTCAGTTACATCTAAAGATTAGACAAGCAAATAAAAGTACACCACCAATGGCGCTTCTTGCTGTAATGATTGCTTCAAAGAGTCAGATCGATACAACCCCCCATATGAGTTCAAAGCCATTTGCCAGCGAATTATGGATTTCTTGAAATGAGATTTCCGCCGTTATGCTGGAGAGACACAGCAGCTCTAAGGGAACTATTTTAAGAATGGTATACTGTTTTATTTTTTGGGATACAATAAATCTACTTCTACTCTATAATATAATATGAGGAGGAGAGTGACACAACCGATTCAAATGAATGGCTACGCAGCAGCCGTTGGCGAAACATTTTAGATGCGTATGAGAAGATTGTAAAATGATTTCGATTGATGCGTAGTAGTAACATTTTGAAGGCCAAATTGTCATTAACCAGGCAGTTGATTTAGCCTCCAGCTAAGGATTACAAATAATTACTGCTCATTTATTTAAGGTACAGTTAAAACCTTATAATTTATCACTCGTCATTAATTATGTACGTACGTGCTGACGTGGTTCCGAATGAATGCAAACATAATAACGCATGTTGAAAATGCAAGTTGACCACGTCACGGACTAAAATATTCAAGGTTCCGACTCCAAGGTAACAATTTCTGTTTTTGAACAACCCTAGCCTGGATAAAGATCAATAATGAGTCTTTTTCTTTTAATCATCTTTTTTTTCTTTTTAATGATCAATGGACAGCAATTATATGTTATTCATATATTCTTATTTTAAAAAAAATTATCGTATTACTCCAATTGCTACTATGATTTCCTTATACTCTTAGAGTATGAGACTTTGATCAAATAGAGCCGATTAGAAAATCGATCTTAGCGTTGCTCTCTCTTAATCAATAGGTGGATTAATAAGTTCGAAGTCTATTACCTAATAAGTCTAGCCAAATCATGATTCAAAATTGTTCACACCAGTCTAGATTCGGGATTATTTACAGATATTCAAAATTACTATTACTTGCAAATACTTAGTTTTAGTTATCATTGCGTGGCTTACAAACATTAATGTCCCATGAAAATTAGACCTATAGCCTGCTGGAGTTGTATTCTTGACAATATACACGAATTAGTCACAAGAATGGATTGCAGATCCTTTTTTTTTTTTTGGTCAAAGTCTCTTGCTGGAAATAAAATTAAAAAAAGAATTGTAGAAATATAGTTACCTCAGGGAAATGTCAAAGGTCCCTCGCACATAAAAAAGTCCAATTAAATGCCAAATCGGGTCACTTGGGAGTTGGGGCCACTTATTGGAGAAACGTTTTTCGCCGTTGTTGACTATTTCTTCCTTTGCTTCTTCCTGAACCCTTCCTCGTCGACAGGGGACACGACAGTGGTGATTGTCCCCCCTAACTTTTAAAAAATCATATTTGTTACCTACAACATTTTATAGAATTTTGCTTTAATTTCTAATTTTCCTCCTTCAAAATTTTTTTTTAAACTCTAGAGTCCCGCCTCCACCTGTTCCTTTTCTTTAAACTTATCTTTGATTGATTGTTATGGTACATGGTATTATTAATTTGTCGAGAAGAATTATTACTCTTTAATCATGTGTCTCATCGTACTATAAGATATATCATTTTTATACTTTCACATGTAACACTATTTTATAGGTGTAATCTCTAAATTTTTTTTTCTTCTTGCCCACAAAAGTACTCCATTTATTTGTTCTATCAATTTATGTTTACAACAGTCATTTGTAGTATTAAAAATTAAAACTTTTACTTCTTAATTAACATTTTTAAGTATAAAAAGCTACACATTTTATACCCTAAAACTACTTACACTTGATGTATTTATAACTAAATATGCCCCCCCCCCCCTTTTTCTCCTGCGAAATCCTGACTCTGCCACTACTCATCATCAACATTTTCTTTGGCTTCACAAAGAACTACTCATCATTTTCTTGAAACCAAAGGCTGTAATAACAAGGTCCCACAATAAGGATGGGTAGTTAAAATCACTTTTTAGTGCGGACGAATTCTGGGGATACAACTATGGAGATTGAGAAGACAATGACTATAACTGGTACTTGAAAAGGAGTTCTCACACTATATAAATTATCACAAAAAGGAGGTCCATTGAAAGCTTTTGGACGAATTGCTCATATTTCGAAAATATCAGAATTAATTTTTATTAATATTGGAAGCTACTAGCCATGATATATCACAATTTAAGTTGTTAGATTAGCATGACAACAATCCTTTCTTCATCAGCGAATCCAATTAGCCAAGTCAATTACTACTACTTGAAAATATTTTTGTACCAGATTATTTATGACACCATCCGAGTTGTTGAAACATTAATTCGTGTGTGTGTGTGTGTGTGTGTGTGTGTGTGTGTGTGAAGGAAAAACAAAAGGAGGGAGTGAGAGTTAGGAATAGTCCTTCAGTTCCAATTGTGGGTTATGTGAGCGCTATTGGAGGCAAAAATATCATTCACAGTGAGGCCTTCAGAGCATTATCTTAGCTTTTTTTCTGATGTTAAGAGTTTGGAAAGAGGATCAGCCATTGATTAGTTTAACTTTCATCCGTTTTTGCGCTTGCTTCCCAGAATCGTAGTTTAGCCATTGCAGTTTTAGCCATTACGCATGAGTCCCTTGTTTGTTTGTAGAAACTCTTCTACTGCATCTACAAATGCCTTCAGTTCCATCTAAAGATTAGAAAAGCAAATAAAAGTACACCACCAATGGCGCTTCTTGCTGTAATGATTGCTTCAAAGAGTCAGATCGATACAACCCCCCATATGAGTTCAAAGCCATCTGCCAGCGAATTATGGATTTCTTGAAACGAGATGTCCGCCGTTATGCTGGGGAGACACAGCAGCTCTAAGGGAACTATTTTAAGAATGGTGCAGGAATCATCAATATCTGATGCCACTGGATTTTTACCAACAATAATAGCTTAGCTGTAACTAAATCCCACTTGAGAAGATAAGTTGTGATTGCCGGAATACTGGTTTTGAGTGATATCACAGGAAGCGGTCTGAACATAGACAGGAGATTTGGAATTCACAGGACTTTTACAGCTCAAAAAGATCAATCCATTTGGTGTCCTGATTAAAAAAAAGAAAGGATGACACTTCATATTGAAAGGCACTTGAATTCTAGCAAGAGGATGGGGTGTGAAAATGATCACAGGTTCTTTTTATTGAAGTCCAGTGATGATCAGCAGGTATGTAGTAATTGTTAATGACAAAATCATCCATACTGAACCCCGACAACAAGATGTAAATTAAGACAAGGGAGACTAAAACTACCAAAATCTGCAATCGCAGCATATTAATAACCGAGTAATTGACTAAGTATATATGTAGATACCAAAATCTGCACTTCTGTTTTTGATTGAAGTCTCGTGACTTTGTATTTGGATGGTTTAGTTCATGATCAGAAGAAGAGTCGAAGACTCGTGGGGGTGGACTTGACTAGTTGGCCTTGTATAGTCAATTATATTTAGGGTACGTTTGGTTCTACAGAATTAGAATTGAATTAGAATTGAAATTCTATAGAATTGGAATTCTATGAATTGGAATTCTATGAATTGGAATTCCAAGTCATTCCAATTCTTTCGTTTGGGAAATGCATAGAATTGTTACAGAATTTATTTGGAATTCCAAATCCTTTGTTTGCATGAGAGAAGAATTCATTAGGAATTAGAATTGTTTTCATGAAACATTTGCTTGCATAAAATTTTTCTTTTTTTTTCTTTTTTCTATATAATAATTTCTTTTTTTTTCTTACTTTTAGCTAATTTAAAACCAAGCGCTTCACTGGAGAAGCAAAACTGTTGCTAATTTAAAACCAAGCGCTTCACTGGGTTCTAAAAGTCTTGATTCTTGCATCAGCTTATACATATATTCTTTAGGCACCGGTTGACAGATGACCAAACGATTATACAAAAAGGAATTTTGTTTCTGTCACATGAATATAATATTAGTTTTTAATTATAGATTATCCCGTCTGATATTTGAAAGAGCAAGAAGAAAAAAGAGCTAACGAGTATCTGTACTTCTGTGAAGAAAAAAGATTCTGAATCAAGACTTTTAGAATATCCCGTTTAGTTGTGGAATTGGAATTGGAATTCTTTGGTCCAGCCAAAGAATTGGAACCATGGAATTCGATCGATTTGGAATTATAATTCAATTCTAATTCTATAGGAAAGATAGTACCCAAACACAAGAATTGAAATTGGGGCTCCAATTCCAATTCTATACTCCAATTCAATGGGGAACCAAACGTACCTTTGATTTTATAACCGCCCTTTGATTTTACATAATGCTAGATGACCTCCTAAGGTTTCAAAATAGCTACATAACCCCCTATAGTTTTATGTAAATTAAAAATGGACAAAATGCATAATCAGTTATGAAGTAACCCCCTTATGATTTGTATAAATATCCATTTTATCTCTCTATAATTTTTACATTTATCCACGTGATCTCCTTATACTTTTATACAAGATAGTTAAGCCATCAATTGATTTAATATTTAAGTAAATGTACTATTTGTATTTCAATTAAAGACGTTGCATAAGTTATTTTTCGTCAAATTTCCACTTTATATAAAACTATAGGAAGGTGAAGTGGACATTTTGAAACGTCAAGAGGATTATGTAATAATAGATGAAATCACAAGGGGTTAAATGTAATTTACCCATATGTTCATCGAATCTCTGCCGTTGCAAGAGGAGCCACATACTTCAATTAGCTGCTCAACATGGCCCAGCTCTAGGCTGCTTGATAAATGGCGAAGGATCAACTAAAGAGCTTTGGCCACAGAGCAGGAACTTGTTTCAACACGGTTCATCATATTTGTGCTTACCTTGAAACCAATGGTGCAATTTCTTGGATCTAATTTGGCCGTTTGACCATTGGAGCAATTTCTTGGATCATTGAAAATCAAATTATATGACGTGACAATGGCTATGATGTTAATAAGGGCATTGTTCTAGTAGTAAAATATGTTGAAGAAATTATGGATCTAAGGCATTCAAGGCTCGAGTCTCCTTAATTAGTCCTTTGACTTTAGCTTTGAAGAAGCTGGTTAAAGTATTATAATCAATTTTTGTAAATCAATTCCAATTACCAAGTCAAAGGCTCCCCTAATCAGTCATAGTTATAAATTCAAAAAAAAATTGGGGGGGGGGGGGTTTCTAATCAACAGAAACTGTTGTGTACGTTTACTTCCAAATGCTAGCTTGATAACAACCAGAAACTACCGTTTCACTGTTTACTTTGTGACGTATTCTATTATTCTAGAGGAGATGAAGTAAGTGCATAAAAAAAATTCGTCAAAGTAGAACACGAGCTCAGGTCAGTCAATGGTCGACTGTTGCAATTTCTCGCAGTACTGCCTTTCTGCTTTTTTCTCCATACCCCACCATTAGGTGTCATTCTCAAAGCAATTCCTGATAGATTCAAAACACAACTCATGCTACAGCTCAGGCAGGCGTGGACTTGGCTCCAAACCATTTATCTATACAGAGAAAACTGCTCTTCCATCAAACCTGAAAACTCATTAGAAGAACAAGAAAAAAAAATTGAAATCTGGAGATTGATCATAGTGGCCATTAGCTTTTCTTCTCTACTAAGCCCTGCAATCTTTGCGGACAACGTCTCAATTGCACCTGCAGCAGCACCACCGGACGATGTCTGTGCAGCGAAAAATGTAGCCCCGAAGGTCCGGCCGTAAGATTCCCATTTCTGGTAAGAGGAAAGCAGCGTGAAGAGTGTGGCTACAATAATCCAGGGTACAATCTTTATTGTGACAACGGAAACCATACCTTACTTGAGTTTCCCCCTTCATCAATGAAATTTGTGGTCAAGAGCATCAACTATAAGACTCAAATGATCCAAGTCCGGTTTGCTGAAGGTTGCCAACTCAAGTATCTGAGAAATCTTAATTTGTCTTCTACCACGTTTCAGTTTTCTGCACTAGACTACCTGGCAGTTCGATATACTTTGTTCAATTGCTCATTGGCAAATGGTGATAGTTGGTCTTCTGATGATGGATATGACTTTCGTTGTCTAGACACCCCTGGATACAAGGTGCGTGCAACGCCTTCTGATACTGAAATTCGGTTTTTGTCTGTGGAATTATGCACAAAGATGTATGACACAAATTTGGTTTCGCGGGAACTATTTCGAATGCAAGACTCAATGAACCTGGCCTGGTCCTTGTCTGCATGCCAAAAATGTGAGGTACAAGAAGGTGGAATTTGCAGATGGAAGAATGGAACTAACAATAAATTTGACTGCTTTGGAGGAAAGAAGCTCGACTCTGGTATGTACCATTTACTGCTCCTTCCTGGTCCATTTCTTGATGTTTCTCATCGAAGTACTTCAGATAGACTAATTGACCAAAGATTCAGACCACAAACAGAATGAGAGATATTTGATTGTCTAGAAGAAGTTTTTAGATGAATCTACACCAGAAATTTGAACGTTTACATCTTGAAAAGGATAAATTTAAAGAAAGGTCTCATGTAGCTATACCCTTCCCTGTCTTCTGAACTCACCCAATTTGGTGACTGTGTATTGATAAAATGGACCAAGAGCACGAACAATACTAGGAACATATGTAAGAGGCCACAATAAAAAGAAAGAAAGAAAGAAGAGAGAGAAATTCACATTTCTAATTAACCTTGACTGTTGTACATAGATGTCTTTTTGACATTTGCTAGTATGTTACAGGTGTATCGAAGAAATTACTCATTTCAGGTGAGAACCTTGCTGTACATTTTTCTCAGTTAATTTTTCTAGTATAGAGAAAAGAAAAAGTAAAATTGACATGTGCCTTTAACAACAGGTCCAATCGTGGGGTGTTTCTTTCTCATATTAGCAACAAGCGCCCTTTTTTTTGGTTGCCCGCCCGGTATCCGAAGCATTGCCCCGACTAATCCGGACCCGACCCGCGTCGCGCACCTGGCTATGGTGGGTGAGTCTCCCAACAGGGGTGTCTGCGTACACTAGGACTCGAACACGAGACCTACTTAAGCGAATCCGAGCCGCTTACCACTCGGACCAACCCCTGTTGGTAACAAGCGCCCTTTACAATGTCTATAAAACAAAGAAAATGGACAGAGAAAATCAGAAGAGAATCAGAACATTTTTGGAGGACTACGCTGCCATGAAGCCTACTCGATATTCCTATGCTGATATCAAGAGGATCACAAATGACTTCAAGGATAAATTAGGTGAAGGAGGCTATGGAAATGTGTTCAAAGGCAAAATTTCAAATGAAATATTTGTTGCCGTGAAGCTGCTGCACAATTCCACAGGAAATGGGGAAGAGTTTATCAATGAAGTAGGAACAATGGGCACAATCCACCATGTAAATGTTGTCCGCTTGGTAGGCTTCTGTGCTGATGGATTCAAAAGAGCTCTTGTTTATGAATTTTTGCCAAACGGTTCTCTGGACAAGTTCATATTTCCGGAAGGTCAAGAGCATCATAACCTTGGAATGGAGAAGTTACAAAACATTGCATTTGGCATTGCGCGAGGTATCGAGTACCTTCACCAAGGATGCGAACAGAGGATCCTCCATTTCGATATCAAACCACATAACATCTTGCTTGACAACAGCTTTAACCCAAAAATATCTGATTTTGGGTTAGCCAAGCTCTGTGAAAAGGGAAGAAGTGCAGTTTCAATGACTGCTGCAAGAGGAACCATGGGCTACATTGCCCCTGAAGTCTTCTCAAGGCACTTTGGCAATGTGTCTTACAAATCAGATATCTATAGCTTTGGGATGCTGTTGCTTGAAATGGTTGGAAGACGGAAGAACATTGATGCCAATGTGCAAAATGTTAGCCAAGTGTACTATCCCGAATGGGTTTACGGACGGTTGGTTCAAGGGGAAGACTTGAGAATCCAAGTTGAGGAAGATGGAGAGGAGATCATTGCCAAAAAATTGGCAATTGTGGGACTTTGGTGCATTCAGTGGAACCCTGTGGATCGTCCTTCAATAACCTTCGTTCTTCAGATGCTTGAAGGAAATGGAGAAAGTCCGAGTCTTCCACCAAGTCCTTTCACCTCAACAGATCCCATGAATCCAAGTAATCCAAGCTTGCATGGAAGACATTTGGCTTCAGGATTGGCAGTGATCTCTGAGTTAGAATAAGATGCTAGAGGTTAATTTCAACTGAAAGTCTTGTGTATTAATAGCTTCCAATGTTCTGCAAATACAAGAAACAAAAAGAAGAAATTGATGAATAAAGTAGAGGTAATCAAAGGATATTTTTTGCATATGTACTGTATTATGGCTGATAATTAAACTATTATTGACTCTGATGGTTAAACTACCCCTACTTATGTGGGATAATAGTTGTTACTAAATTCCATGATGCCTCTTAAACAGTTGAATTCTTCAACACAAGGCAAAACCATGGCTTAAAACTCTGCCACTACTTATCATCAACATTTTCTTTGGAAAGAGGATCAGCCATTGATTAGTTTAACTTTCATCCGTTTTTGCGCTTGCTTCCCAGAATCGTAGTTTAGCCATTACGCATGAGTCCCTTGTTTGTTCGTAGAAACTCTTCTACTGCATCTACAAATGCCTTCAGTTACATCTAAAGATTAGAAAAGCAAATAAAAGTACACCACCAATGGCGCTTCTTGCTGTAATGATTGCTTCAAAGAGTCAGATCCATACAACCCCCCATATGAGTTCAAAGCCATTTGCCAGCGACTTATGGATTTCTTGAAATGAGATGTCGGCTTTTATGCTGGGGAGGTTAGAATAAGATGCTAGAGGTTAATTTCAACTGAAAGTCTTGTGTATTAATAGCTTCCAATGTTCTGCAAATACAAGAAACAAAAAGAAGAAATTGATGAATAAAGTAGAGGTAATCAAAGGATATTTTTTGCATATGTACTGTATTATGGCTGATGGTTGAACTATTATTGACTCTGATGGTTAAACTACCCCTACTTATGTGGGATAATAGTTGTTACTAGATTCCATGGATTAAAAAACTGAACCATAAGAAAGAAGGAACCAGAAGAAACACTACTCCGTCTTCATGATTATTTGAAAAGTCTATCAGTTAGATCGTTGAGCATTCAACATGATTATTTGAAAAGTCTATCAGTTAGATCGTTGAGCATTCAACTCCAATTATCCAGGAAGGCAGTATCCAGGAAGGCAGCATCCAGGAAATGTCTTATTGGGCCCATTGATGAAAAGGAAAGACCCGCATGTCTATATTGCTCATTGTCTCAAGTAGCATAATATCTCAAGATATTATATATTGGAGCTCAGTGGATACAAATTATTGGAGCTATATTTACATATGAATGCATCTCTGAAGGTGCTAACTTTCAGTTTTACTGGTACCAAATGAGTTTTCAATTTGCTTTTTCAACTGTAACTAGGTGGCAGATTGGCAGATTTAAGAGTTTGAAAAACAAATCTGAAATAGAAAGCTTCCACTAAAAGTTAGGAGTACTTCTTAGTCATCCATCTGCTCTATTTCTAAAGCAATAGAGCTACACAGCGTTACTGTTGACTCATCAGAAGAGCTAACATTACTGCTTCCTTGCATGGATATGGGTGAATCCGGAGGGTAAAACAACGGTCTGTGGGGCAACTTTAGGCCACTAAGATCACCTTCAAGCATTTCTAAGACTTTTCTCATTGCAGGACGATCCTCAGGTGTCATTTGTGTGCACCATAATGCTATCAAAATCAATTTTCTACTAATTGACTTTTCGTCTTCAGTTGTATGATCCCCAATTTCCAATTCCTCCCCTCGATCGAGTTTATCGTATATCCAGGACAGGAAGTATATTTGACTTGAATGTTCTACATGTCCATTACCATTTCTCCTCCTTCTTGCCATCTCCATTAGCAACATTCCATAGCTATAAACGTCTGCCTTGTCTGAGACTCTTCCAATCTTTTTGTAGAACAATTCCGGAGCCATGTAACCTAATGTTCCTCTGACAACTGTAAGACTTGAAACACTCTTTTGCATCGGGTAAAGTTTTGCGAGTCCAAAGTCTGTAACTTTTGGAACGAAGTTCTCATCAAGTAAGATTTTATAAGGCTTAATATCAAAATGCAGAATTTGCATATTACACCCCTGATGCAAGTATTCAATCCCACGAGCAACTCCTTTTGCAATCTCACAAGTTTGCTTCCAACTCAATGGATGACCATTTTGACTATCTGAGAAAATTAATTTATCCAGAGAGCCATCGGCATGTAATCATATACTAGGGCATGTTTCGAGGGAGCAACACAAAATCCTACCAACCGAACCACATTCACATGGTGAATTTGTCCAATAGTTGCAACTTCATTAATGAACTCTTATCCATCAGCTTTTGATTTGTTCAGCATTGATAGGGTGTTAATTGTTGGTTATTTTATTGTTAATTTTCCCCTTTATCCTTGCCAAATATTGTTTTAATTATTAATATTTACTTATATTTGGTATTGGACTTAATTTCAGGAACAAAGCAGAAAATTACCAAAAAGGAGGGACTTTTATGGGAAAATGGAGACTTCTAAGGACCTTGGACTCTTGAATTGGTGGGGACCACAAGCTAGTGCAAGGCATTTAGTCATTTGGGCTTTTCAAAGAAAGCAACGTAGAGAGACTTGGAACAACAAGTACTTTGGAGGTTTTGTCCACATGTGCGGGACCACGGATAAGAAGCATGAGTCATTTGGACTCTAGGAAAAGAAACGTACAAGACTTTGAATTTGGTGTGGGGACCACTAGAGATAGCATTAGACTTCCTTTTGGCTTTAAAAAGGGAGAAACGTACGGGAGGTTTATCAATCAATAGTTTTAGTTTAGACTTTTAGCATAGTTTTAGTTTTCTTTTCTTAGCTCTTTCGCATGGTTGTTCTCCATTAATGGAGAACTAACCTCTTAATTCAAGTCAAGGGGACAACTGAAGATTTGGTTCAACAATTACTGTGAGATCTAATTTATTTTAATTGCTTCCTTAATTTATTGATATTTATATATTCCCTGCTTTTAATTGCTATAGCTCGTGTGAGTGATTGAATAGATGCGCAATATTTAATTATTCACATGGGCTATTTTGCTAAATAGGGATAATTGAATCCGTAATTGTTCGTTATCTTTATCTCAGTAGCAACTGGCGTAATTGGGTTTATATCAGGGGAGCATACGATCTAACTTAAACAAACCCTCGTAGCGTGTTTGTTAGTTAGGATTGGGCATTTCTAATTATTAATGCAATCTAGAAATTAAATCCTACGGTTGTACCTAGGGTTGTTTTTGGGTTAGAGAAATAGTTAACGGTCGTACCTTAACTATCGAGAAATTAAGGAAAGGTTGGTTGTTTATCGCGTGCATGACAACTATAACTGGTCTATTAATAAATGTGGAATTATCTGTGAATCAATGATCAGTGCCTGAACCATTTCTGAAGTGTACCCTTGGCTAGAGTTTTCCCTTAATTATTTCTCTTAATCAATTATTTTCTGCAGTTAATTTATTTAGTTAGCATTTAATCCAAAAACCCCCATACCTTGGACTCTAGAAGAAACGAATTATCCCCAATCCCTGTGGATTCGACCCTGCTCACCGCTATATACAAAATCTGTATTTTTCTCGAGTAGGTATTTATTATTGCACAGGTTCGGCACCTGTCAATTTTTGGCGCCGTTGCCGGGGACTGGTGTCAGATTAATTTGTTTGTTTTTGAGTTCACCTTGTTTTCATTTTTAATTTATTTTTCTCTTATTTTTTTATATAACTTATGGCTTCTAACACTCCGTATTTTGGTGATATAATGGATTTTGTCTTCGGGGAAGGCAATGAGACTGATTGTTTTTCTAAGTTTGCATATTTAGAGGCAATAAACTCTATTAAAAAAAAAATGGCTGCTGCAACCTGTGAAATTTGTTATGCCAGGGATCATTCAACCGGTATGTGCCCCGAATATCAAGATGATCTGAGTGTCCCATTCAATAATTATGGAGATTTTTCACCCTGGTCTCAAACGTGGTATAACCCTAATCCAAACGGGTATGATCAAGGATGGTGGGATAACTCCAGTTATGATTATACAACAGGGCCAATGAATTTTCAGCAGTATGAGTCTCAAGAATCATCATCTATGTCAGGTATGTCTCTTGAAGAGATAGTTGAATTAATAGCTACTAACACATATCAAATTCAACAGGAGACACAAGTGAGCAGGCGTAACCTAGCAGATCAAATGGATCAATTGACATTTAGGATAACGTCATTGGCTTCTCGAATGAGTGAAAAATTGCCCTCACAAACTATTATCGACCATGAGGAATATGAGAGTGCAATTATCCTGACGAATGACATGGTACTGCAAGAGTCTCAAGAAGAAGAATCTAAAGATGCAGTTGAAAAGAAAGTTGAAGCACAAGAATTGAGACCCCAACATCAAATGGTTCAAGTGAATGAATCCAGTGAACAATCTCCAAATGCGGTGACATCTCCTCCATTCCTTGATCAATATTTTCCTGACTCTTATTCTTTAATTCCTGTTGGTGAGATTGATTTTATTATACCAGAAAATTTTGAGTTTCATGACAGGAACAAGTCAAGAGTCACGATGGCAAAATATCTCAAACCAATAAGTGCTTGTGATGGAGGGGTGAATGAAGATTTAAGGTCATTACTTGGTTGTTTGGCTCCATCTACTAGTCCATGGAAGACCGTAGCTCGTGTGCTCAAAAATTACTCTACTTACGAGGGCTATCAAGATTACATAGAGGATGAAGCACTGAAACGAGCCACAAGATTTTATCCTCCATGAATAAACAGGACAATGTCTAGCCAAACACATTAAAGAAAGGCGCTGCTTGGGAGGCAACCCAAGGCTTTTGTTTTAATTTTCTTATGTTTTTGGAGTTTTTGTTAAGTGTTAGTTGCATTTAGTGATTTGTTGCTTGGTGGCAGGAAAGTGGCAATTAAACGTGCCCACGCCAGGTGGTCACGCCTGAGGGAAAGAAATTTTCGTTCAGGATCTGCGGACTCTATAGCGGTTAGACGCGCCCACGCCAGGTGGTCACGCCTGAGGGAAAGAAATTCTCGTTCAGGATCTGCGGACTCTATAGCAGTTGAGCGTGCCCACGCCTTAGCCAGAGGGTCCTTGACTTAAAAAAAAAAAAAAAAAAAATTCCGTCTTACACCTTCAGTTTTGATTCTCACAATTCGGATTTTGAAATTTGAATGTGCAAAAAAAAAAAAAAGAACTATTTTTTTTCCTTTTTCTTTCTTTCTTTCTTTCTTTCTTCTTCTTTCTTTCTTCTTTTCTTCCCCGCTGCCCTGTTTCCCTTTTCTTTTATTTCTTCTTTCGGCTGCCCTCCATCCGCCGCCACCCACTCCGCATCAACTCCCCATCGCATGCCGCTGCCTATCGCGAGCCACTCGCCTCGCCGTCCGCCGCCATTGGCGCCCTCCAGCAGCACCGCCGCGAGCTCCACCGAACCTCTTGACCTTAGCCTACTCCAACCCAACTCAACCATTCCTCGCCTCACCCACTGCTGTGGCCCCGCCATGGTCCCCGTGATTTCAGGGAAGTACCATTGCTCTTTTGCTTACTATTACTATTTATTTATCACATTGAGGGCAATGTGTGAATTAGGTGTGGGGGGTCAGTTTTGGGTGCTAGTATTTTCAATTTTCGATTTTTTAGGTGTTTTTTTTCCTTTGTTTTAAGTCTGATATTTATCTCCTTTTCATTTATTTTCTTTTCTTTTCTTTTCCTAGTGGTCAGTTTTTATATGAGTACCAAGTTTTGATACCGGATTGTTGTCTCTAATTCTGCTATTGCCAAGTTTATTAATAAAAAGGTATCAAGTTGATGTGGTTGAATTCAGGAATATCTCTTTGGTGAATATCA